TTCAAATTTTAACAAAATTTAATATTTTGATTTTACATTAATTTAATTTCTACAAAATTTATAAGAATAGCCAAATTTGATCTAAACCAAACCACATTTAACTTCATAACCAAACATTAAATATCTGAATATTAGAGTGTTTCTAAAAGAAAACCTGAAAATTTAAATATAAATTATTTGAATTTTTGGGCTTTCTTTTAATGATACTTTGATGCAAATATTGATTAAAGAGTATAAAATCATTAACTCTATAAAACTATTGATTAACTTATATTGGTTTTTGAATAATATTTTAAATATCATGTTAATAGTTAGATTGAAGCAATAATAGATAAATAAGTTTCAAATATAAAAGAAAGTAAATCTTTACTTAGCAAAAATAACTGATTAATAGCAATAGTATTATATATTATTTTGATTTTATATTATAGTTTAGATGTTACAAGTTATTTTTTATATAATTATTTATTATTACTGACTATTTTGTTATATGTGGTTTAGAAGTTATACTAATTTTGTAATGAAATAAACTGATACTAATAACAATTTACTTAATAAATATTGATATTAGTATAATCTGGCATAGAATAATATTAATGTGAATTATAAATTGATATATAACAAGTGTACCAATTATGATATAATACTCATCATATTTCAATTTCAGAACATGAATTCAAAACAATATATGATATAAAAATTTTTTTTAACTAATCATTTAAGCAATCAGAATTTAAAAATTTTTATAAATATACTCAATTCAAACTGTCTCTTTTTAAAAAACTTTTCTAAATTTTTTTTCTAATTTTTTTAGATTTTTTATTTGAAAAAACTTTTTTTTTTTAAAAAAAATAAAAAAAATATAAAATAAAAATTTTCTTTTTTTGCTATAGCTAAAACAAAATATATCAGACACATATCTTAAACTTCTAGATTTGTAACTCAACAATCTACTATTCCTTTGACTCAACCATCTATCACTTTTTCAACTCAACTATCTGCCACTCCTTCAACTCAACCATTTGCTACTCCTTTAATTCAACCATTTATTATTTCTTCAACTTAACTATCCATCACTCCTTTGATCCAACTATCTATAACTTCTTTGACTCAACTATCTATCATTCCTTTGATTTAACTATTTACCACTTCTTTAACTCAATTATCTACCACTTCTTTGATTCAAGTGTCTAGCACCACTTCAGTATAACTATTTATCACTTCGATCAAACCATCCACCACTTTGACCAGACTATTCACCACTTTGATCAGACAATCCACTATTTTAACCAGATCACCAACCACTTTGACTATACCATTTACTACTTCGATCCAACCATTTAGCACTTTAATCTAATTATTAATTATTTCTTTAACCCAACTGTCTACTTCTTCTACTGTTCATTTACCTTATTTATTCAGAAGTAGTAGAAGCTAAAGTAAAAGTAATAAATGAGTAGAATCTTTATTACATTACAAATTATTAGACAGAAATAGAAGGCTGAAGAATGGTAAATTTTTATTTATTGTAAAAAAATTGAACATGCTAATATATAACTTAATTACTAATTTTTTTCTTTTTTTTATTTAAATGGTAATGAATTTATTATACCAATTTATAACTAATATTTTATTTACTAATTTTTTCTTTTTTTTTTTACTTAAATAGTGATAAATTTATGCTAATTTATAACTAATATTTCATTTACTAATATTTTTTTTTCTTTTTTATTTAAATAAATATATGCTAATATTTATAATTATTTATTATTCTTTCTTTCTTAAATATATGCTGATTATAACTGATATTTATAAAATTTATTTCTTTTTTTGATTTTTTAATTTAATAATAGCTAAATTTATACTGACTTATAATAACTAAATTTATTTTTTATTTTTTTATTTAAGGATAGAGTATATGTAGATCATTTTTTATATAATCTTTGTGGTATAATATAATTTTTATAAAAAATAAAGCTTTGCTACTAATAAAACTTTTTACTATTGCAATTAATTTTTATCAAATTTTTATATAATATAGAATAAGATATGTTCTTTATAATAGTAAAATTTTTAATAGATAAAATATTTTTAAAAAATATACTTGTATATATTACAAAGTTCTTCATAATGGCTTCAAATTTTCTGTAGTTACACAAAATTATTTTATAATAATTGGTCCAAATTATATGATCTTCATATGATTTATATAAACAATTTATAAATCTAGTTTTTAAATATATATATCTTAATCAATTTTTAACTAATTTTAATAAATTTATTATGATTAGAATCAGAAAAACATATTCTACAATTTTAATTAATATTTAAAAGTTGTTTACTTAAGAAAATATTTTTTTATTTTTAATTAAATAAAAATTTACCAAAAGTTTTATATATAATTTAAAAATTGTATACTCTACTCTTAATATTAATGAACAATCATATAAACAATTATCAAAAACATACTGTATCCACTTCTTCAATTGAAAAAATCAACAAAATAAACTCTGATCTTAACCAATTAACCAATCTTCCAAATTATCCAATCAATTAAAAAACATACTCATTTTTGAAAAGATTACACTTATTTATGCCTTTGTGAACTTTCTGATCAATTACATTCTCACTCAAATATATATCCTCCTATTGACCAAGCAATTCATAAAATTAATATTTGATCTATCTTATAGATCAAATATAGCATATCATCAAATTATATATTAAACATTCAAATCTAGGTGAGTTTTGACCATTTTAGTAGGTTTAGGTCACAGATAAACTATTTGAGTTTTTATTTTTATATATAATTTTCAATTTATTTGTTTTGTACAAATAGTAGTAACTATATAGTTAGTAGTTTAATAGTTAACCCTGACTGCAAGTATTGGTCTCTACCATAACATATATATATGTAACTATTTTAAATTATTAATAAAGATATAAGCAAGGCCTTATCTTAATATCAAAAAAAAAAAAATAGATTAATAAATATATTAATTAGTTTAGATGACATATTGATACAATTAAGAACTTTTTCAAATAGATTCAAGTTGACTAAGTCATAAGTTTTGCTTATATTCTGAGATATAAACCAAAGTTTTTTAGAATTGTAATATATATCTTCAATGATATTGTTAAGTATATAAATAGAAATAACAGTATTATTGTCTAAAAAGGTAATATAATTGTAAAATAAAAGTATTTTAAATTTTATAAAAGTATAATTTAAGTGATTTGTAAACAATTTGATATATAGTTTTTTAGTATATTCAAGAAGACTAATAGGTCTGATATTAGAAAAAATATCATCAATAATTAATTTTTTGAAGATTGAAAAGATTCTATCCTCTTTCTATTGTTTAGATATGTGATTTGTAGAAATACATTTATTAAATAAGACAATAATTACTTAAAAAAATGATAAGTTTACATGTTTGAACATTTACATTGCTACTAACAAGAGGAACTGTGCATTAGTATAATAGTAATAAATCCAATATACTGCTTAAAGATAGTAAAAAAAACTTATCTTAGACTAAATTTCTATTGTGATATACTCTACAACCCTGATTACTCAGACCAAGTCTTTTTATACCTCTATTGTAACCTTACCATTACTAAAGGTTTAATGACTATAAATATAGTATTCTAGTTAGAATAGTAAGATAATAGTATAGTTATTAGTAAGATACTATATACCTATTCTCTGAATTTTTTGATGCAGTTTGTATACTGTATGTGAAAATTTTTGCTGATCTTTTTGCTAACCAATCGAATTGCTAGATATGCACTGTACGTACTGTGTGCGAAAACAATTTGTGCATCATATAAATGACACATCACTAGTTCTTCCAGAACATAGCCGAAAGATGTTTTTTTAACACCTTATAATGATTGCAAGCATTAATGCAATCGAAGTTCTTCCAGATCACACCCGAAATCAAAAGATTCTCTTTTTAGACCTCCAAATGATGATAATCATCAGCGTAACTTACATTATTTCGATGATGCCTTTTTTAGACCTTCAAATGATCGAAAATATCAGTGTAATTTATGTCCTTCCAGCCATAGTCGATAATGTTCTTCCAGACTATTTTATATTATGAGTACAGTATACTATTTTATATACTCAAATGCGATTTTTACAATATACTCCACTACTTTACTAAACCATACACCACACGAAGCCGTGTAATATTTTAAACCGGTTATAAATCGTTACTTATATCCTTTCATCCAACGATCACCCAATTATCCAAAAAAAATAAATGCTGGATAACACAAATATTGAGTCATGCATTGATAAATTATTTGTCATATATGTGATTGTAGATTATATATAACCAAGCCAATCTGATTTCAAGATTAAGGCCGTTCTCCAAACGATCTGATTGACAGAAAAAATTTATTGTGATTTTTACTTAGATCAAAAAAATCTGGTCAAATTTTTTCATAAAACTGCTAAAATTTAAAATCCGCATTTCGAAAAATGAATTTTTAATAATTCGTTTTTCGATAAAGCACAATAACAATTCGTAATGCTTTGAGCAACATCTGCTAATCACATGAAGGGAGCTGCTTGAGAACACCCTAAGTGTAACGTAGCACAATCAGGATAATTTTTAAGCAAACGTCGTTTTGCCAAAATCGCTTATAATTGAAAAAATCTGCATAAGAAACCACCTTTAATGCTCTGATCAAAGTTTATTGGAGATGATTTTACTATTCATTTTGCCATTATATAATCCTAATATAAGTGTCACCACTAGCCTTAATGAACTTTTAAATTTTTGGCGATTTTATATGTGAAAATATCACATGCGTTGTAATTAATTATTTTTTTAAATTTCTGTTTATTATAATTAAATGATTAATTTTAATTTATTATTATAAAAATATTATTTTATTAGCTTTATATTTACTAATTTTGTCACCTTTCGTCAGTTTCGTCATTTAAATTTTTTTTGATAAAGACTAAAATTAGTTCCGTAACAACTCTAAGCATCACTATTAGCAGTATTTAGTTTTTGAGCATAAACACGTACTCGCAAACTAAAAGATTCGAGTTCTATTATTTCGTTTCCCATTTTCTTAATCAAATCGTCATATTCATTACTAGAAGCACCAATTATATTCATAAGTTTGGGTTTCAAGCTTATGAGACCGGTAGCATAATTTTCATACATCTAAATAATATAATACAATAAAATATTATTAAACACTATCCAGTATAGACAATTATTAAATTATTATTTACCAATTTATATAACTTTTCACTATCTTCATTATCTATACTTTTCTTTATTTCAGAATGAACGTCATGAAGTTGTCTATGCCCTTCTAAAAAACCTTGTAATTTATGACATGTCATTTGATCTAAACCGTTTTCACCAAATATAATTAATACTAAAAAAAAAGATTTAAAAAATAAATTATATATAAAATTATGAACTCTATACAGTAAAAGACTACCCTGATGAATAAATTATTATGATTCTTACTGCCATCCATAAGCCTTGCTGTTGCAGGCCCCATTTTATTAAAAAGAACTTCAACTTCCAATAACTAAAAAGAAAAAATATATATATTAAATTAACCAGTTCTTACTAAATTTTAATAATACATTTAATATAAATAAAGCAAACCTCAATATAACCACCAGGTTTTAATACGCGGACCAACTCATTAATCACGGATGGCCAACTTTTTTCAGGTATTCCGACATTCAAAAATCGTTGAAACACATAATTAAATGTATCATCTGGAAATGGTAAATGTTTTAGCACATTCCCTTCAATAAATTCTGCATTTTTAGGTTTGATAGTGTTTGGTTGAACAGGAGAAATGTCGATTCCGATGAATTTTGATTTTGGATAATTAGTTGCCATTTCGAGTAACCAAGTGCCTGGACCAGTTCTGAAACAATTATTAAAATAGTTATGAACAATGATTACTAATTTTATTGAAGTTGTTATTACTATTATACTGTAATTTAATATTATAAGATAACTACCCTACATCCAAAACCATTGTACCTTCTTGATTAAGGAGATGATTAACCGGGGCGAAAAAGTTATCTTGCCAAATATATCTCTCTATGAAATGCTGTAACTGTAATCTATCACATTCATCGTTATCATTTGGTAAAAAATATGTAGAATTCTCTACGTTATGGTATCTTTTACCATTTTCGAAACGAAATTTATCGGGACCATTCTTATTCGACCGTTTTGACTCAGATCCTTTATTATTGAAAAAAAATGGAAATTTATCCCTTATAACTTTACTATTTGACAAACCCATATTTGATAGAAAAAAATTTACTCACAATAATAAATCTTGCAGTTTTTATTTGTTTTCAGCATAAGTATTATTATCCAGAAAACTCTTATGATATATATATTTCTGCACGTTATTTTTTTTATGTGATACGATGTGACTAGAATTTTTCGGAATTGCTTATGGGTTTCGGAATATTTCGGAATATTTCGTAATCTATTGAAAATTTCTGCTTGGCTAAGATATATGTAAAAATCATGCGTATGATTGTATACTTTCATGCGCATTGCCCATCACTAGATGTGACAAATTAACATGCAGCCGAACAACTTCCTACCAATCATGATCGGATAACACCATTATTTTGCAAATTTGCGCCCAATAATGTATACATATGTAGTAATGTGACATTGTTGGTTGCTCGTTCCATCTTTGTGCCTAAAAATAACGTCCATATTAATTTTTAGCTCGACGATAAAAACATGCACTGATGTAGAGAATATCAAGATTTAAACGCTATAGAAGTTTATTATTATGTCTCCGTTATTATATCAGTTTTAATCTAATAAATTAAATACCTCTTCTAAACATAATTTAGAAAACATATAAAAGACTACGCCACAGACAGACTCGCAAAAGTTCAATGGAAACTTTGAAAGTAAACACAGTCAGGTTATAAAATCATTCGTGTATTTATTATAAAAAATTTTTGGATTATAGAAAAATTTGGACGATATGGACCCATGCTCGAGATGAAATATTATACAAAACGATCGAGCCACGTTATAGCTAACTGTGGCAGCGTAATGCATATTTATCGGAATTTAAATAAGATCTATTGTATCGTAGATAATCCGTGTAAGTTTATGATTATCAGTGATCTGCTATGAAACTTGGTTCGTGATCCGCCACATTTCCTTTTAATTTTATTTTATAACGATACGTATGCGCTATTGCTTACTGTATTACTGTATTACTTGCATTACTGTATTACCAAGGATTTATCGTACTCGTTATATTTATAATTTTTGTTTATCACGTGAATATGCATTTAAATTAAATTATTGACGTCAGAACGAGCTTTGTAAAATTTATTTAATTTTTCCTAATAAGTTATTATTTGATTTTTTAATTTGTCAAATATATGGTAAACTTTTCATAGTGTTTTATCTATAGTAAAATAAATTTTCTATCTTTCACTTTTGCTATCTTTTTTTAGTTTCGCCAGTTGCTACCTTTCGCCATTTCGGCATTTTAATTTTTTTTGCCGAGTTTGTAGTGAAACCTCTAAGTTTCGCTGCAAAACTATTTCGTCAATCGTCAGCAGCTTCGCCAATCATCAACAACTCCGTCAATCGTCAGCAGCTTCAATAGCTTCGTCAATTCGTCAACAGCTTCGTCAGGCATGCAATTTGATAAAACCTTTAGTCAATTCAAATAGTTTCATCAAGTAGTTTTGACTATAATGAGAATTGATTAAATAGCATTATGTATGTGATGCTGTTACTTACCTATAGGATCTTACGCTGTATCTATGTAGTATATTCACCAATATATGACGTTTTTGCACTGCTTGCAGCAGCCATAAAGCTTAACCACAATATGAAGTCTTTAGTTGCTGAGCTTAATTACCAAACATGAGGCTCTTGTACTGCCTGTGGCAGTCATAGTGCCTAATCACAATACGAGATCCTCGCACTGCTATCACAGGTGCAGAGCTTAATCACCAAACATGAAGTTCTTACACTGCCTGGGGCAGCACTAATTACTGTACGTACGTACGTACGTATATAAACATATATATTTTAGCTCATTATTGAATGACGGATGAGATGTTACACTGTTTGTAGTAAATGTCGTACGTTGCAACGATGAAAAATGGTACCGATCTGGGACGCCATTATTACGAATTTGTGAGAAACTAAAATGTAGCGCAACTAAGTTAGCTCAGTTCGTAAGCAAGCGAAAAGATTGCAGTATGAAATACTTTATACAGTAGTGTTGATCAATTTATTACAGCACAAGAAACGATTAAAGGGTACAGTGCAATGGTCCTAAGACAACTACTATTCATTAATCTACATTCCATATAATGATTAAACTTGCAAAATTTATATATATGTTGTAAGTGAGAATGGAATTTAAGTGGATTTGGAATTTCCTAGTTAAATTTGGGTTAGGGTCAATGTGCATATGTTGCAAGTGGAAACAGAATTTATAGCTGTTTTCAAAAAGGTGTGGACAGACGCAGATCACAATATCTCGAGAAATTTACGAAATTTCCAGACTTCCAGAATTTTCAAATCCAATCACGAACCAAGCGTCGCCAAAAAATCAGTTACGGTTTAAACTCAATCAAATTTATAGTTCCGATGGTTCGATATGT